GTTGAGTTCTAGTTTCTTACTATTGTGGTCCAAGAAGATGCATGGAATTATTTCAGTTTTTTTGAATTTGCTGAAACTTGTGCTGTGGGCTAGCATGTGGTCTATCCTAGATACTGTTCCATGTACTGATGAGAAGCATGTGTATTCTGCCTTTGTGTGGTGAAAGGTTCTGTAGATATTTGTTAGGTCCATTTGGTCTATAGTGTCCATTAACTCTGTTGCTTCCTGGTTGATTTTCTGTTTCTCCTCCTCCTGTGGGGCTTCCCAGGAGGTCTCCTCTTCTCTTTGCCGAGCATTTACTTCCTACCCTATTCCCTGAACATTTTCTTCCAAGCCTCGAGTAGGGTGCTGCTCCCAAATCTGCCATTTTCCCCCTATTCTATATATACAGTTTTAAGAACATGTTGGAACTTTTGAAAATTATTTTTTGTTAACAACAATTGTACATATTTTTGGGCTACACTGCCACATTTCAATACATGTATACCGTATATATTGATAAAATTAGGGTAATCAGCTTTTACCTCTCTTTGACATTGCTTTATTACTGGAGCCTTGTAACTCCTTTCTTCTATTTTCTGATAAAATGTGTACTACATTATTGTGAACTAATCATCCACTATGTGGCATAACACTGGGAATTTACTCTTTGTAACATTATGATTTGGTTCCACTGTTTAACTTCCCTATATCCCTTCTACACTTCCCAGCCCCCACTAATTACTACTCTGTTCATGTTGACATCTTGTCAGTTGCTACGAAAAACAGTGTGGATAGTCCTTAGAAAACTAGAGATGGGACTGCCACGTGTTTGTATATTTTTGATTACAAATTCACTCTCATTTTATATTGGTCTGTTTAGATTTTCTTTCTTCATGATTCAGTCTTAGAAGGTGGTATCTTCTTAGGAATTTATCAGTTTCTTTCAGTTTGTCAGATATTTTGCATTTAAGTTCTCTACATTCAGCATTCTTCTTGGAGGAAGTACATATTTTATCTCATATATTTTTTTTTTTTGACAGCAGAGTTAGACAGTGAGAGAGAGAGAAAGAGAAAAGTCTTCCTTTTTCCTTTAGTTCACTCCCCAAATGGCCGCTACCGTCGGCACGCTGCGCCAATCTGTAGCCAGGAGCTAGGTGCTTCCTCCTGGTCTCCCATGCGGGTACAGGGCCCAAGCACTTGGGCCATCTTCCACTGCCTTCCCAGGCCACAGCATGCATGGAATGGAAGAGGAGCAACTGGGACAGAATCTGGCGCCCCAACTGGGTCTAGAACCGGGTGTGCCGGCGCCGCAGGCAGAGGATTAGCCAAGTGAGCCACGGTGCCGTCCCTTATCTGGTATTATTATGATGCTCTGTTTTTAATTGTCTGACTTACATGTATGAGTTTGTCTTTTTTGCACATTCACTCCTTTTGTAGATGTATTTTCTTATTTTAAAGGCAGAAGAATGACAGGAAGACACACATACACACACAAAGACATACACAGGGGGTGGAGGGGGAGAAAGGTCATCTATCCACTGTTTCACTTCCCCAGTGACTGCAAAAGCCAGGGCTTGGCCAGGCAGGCCTAAGCCAAGATCCAGGAACTCCATCCTTGTTTCCCATAGGAGTGGCAGGGGCCCAAGTACTTGATGTACTTGATCCATCATCACCTTCTACTTCCCAGATGCATTAGCAGGAACCTGGATCAGGAGAAGAGGCAGGACTTGATCCCAGACACTCTAATATGGGATGCCAGCATTGGAAGCAGTAGCTTAATGTGCTGTGCCACAACACTGGCCCCATATAGTCTCTCTTGAATGAAAGGGTATATGGGCATGGAATTTTAGATGGACAATTTCTGTTAGTCCTTTTATGAAATTCTGACATGTAATTTTGTTTCCTGTCAGTCAAATTAATTCATTTTACCTTTATACTTAAACCATATTTTTTCTGTAAAATAGGAAAATCCTTAGTCATATCTCCTCTATTATTGACTCTTTCTCATCCTGTATTTTTAAAAAAAATCTCCTGGATTTCTTTTATTTTAGGACCTCCGTGCTAGTCTCTATGGTGGTGGTGGTCATAGTGGTGGTGGATGTTCTCTTTTTTCTTCTCTTCCTGCTTCTTTATTTTTTTTCTGTCCTTCTGAGACTATAATAGAGCTTTAAAATAATTTACATATAGGGAAATTTGTCATTTATGTGTGGACAGTGTGATGAGTTTAGCAAATACATACAAATACTATTCAGATAACAACGTATATAATAACAGTTTCATCACCAAGACTATTTCTTCTCACCTTACCTCTAGATCTGTACACTGGCAAATCTGTTTTCTGTGCCTATCAGTTTTTTACCTATTTTAGAACTTTAAAAAATGGAATCATATGTTATATAGTCTGGCCTCTTTTTCTTAGCATAATGCATGTGAGAGCCATCTGTTACGTGTGTCTATAGTTTGTTAGAGTGGTTACTGCTACTGAGACAATACCATTCTGAATAATGCTGCCTAACTCACTCTGTGCCAATTGTATTTCTCAACTCAGATGGTGGGAACAGAAACTAAAGCTATTTATGTTCTTGTGTGTATACAAAAGATGAGCATTTTACTCATTCTTTATGAATATTTTTACTCTGGCTCAGGTACCCACCAGTCCATATTTGATAGATTTTATGGGGGTCCCCACGGAACCCAGAGGCCCTGTTTGGGCATCTTTCCTTTCTGATTCTGTTCCCTAGGCACTCTGGCTGTGTTTGCTTCCCTGGACTTCCAGTTCCACCAGCTTAACTCAGGTGCCTGGAATTTGCCTGCCTCTCCATGCATGCAGTACATTGTGGAAACTCTCTCCAGGGAGTATGAAATTCAAACATGGGGCTCACCTTGTTTGTTTTTCCATCTCAGGGTTTAGTGTCCTGCACTAATAGTGAATGTCTGACTGATTCTTTCATATTTTCAGGTTTTTTTTTTTTTCAGACGGGAGGGTAGATCTAGTCTGTCACTTCATTTTGGTCATACCTGAAATTGTGCTTTATGGTTTGAGTATATATATATATATACATATGTACACATATCTACATATATACATGCATATACACATATATATATATATATACATATATACACATATGTATATATATACACATTCATTCATTCAATTTAAAAGGAAGAGGGGGCAGAGAGAGAGAAAGAAAGAAAGAGTGAATTGATTTAATCCCATCTCACTTCCCAAATGCTCAGCATAGGCAGAGCAGGGGCAGGCTGTCTTAGAGCCAGGAACTTCAACTGGATCTCCCAGATGTTGCAGTGACCCAAGTACTTGAGCCATCTTCTGTTGCCTCCAGGGTGTGCATTAGCAGGACCCTGGATCAGGAGAAAAGGTAGGATTTGATCCCACGCACTCTGAAAATAGGATGCAGGCATCCCAAGTGGCGGTTTAATCCATTGTGCCACTATACCCACCACATGCACTTTCAGATATTATATTTTTAAAAATAAAAGCATTTTATTGACACATGTTTAGAAAGACATATCAATGCAATAGACTATTATATCCAAAATACACTCGAGTATGTACATATAAATTTAATATATGATAAAGGAGACCATTAATGTAAAAAAGCTGATTACTCAATGATATTGACGTAAATAAATTCTAAAAAATAAATTTGAACCATACTTGATAACCCAAGTCAAATTGTATTTCATGCATATCAACTATTTACACATAAGAAATAACACCTGAACTATACCAGCAGAAAGCATAAGTAAACATGTTGTAGTAATAGAATTGGGAAGATCTTCTAATAATGTAATAAAACCCAGAGACCATAAGTAAAAAAGATTGTTGAATTCAATCTCTATATCTTACATTTTGATTTCCTCAAATCACTATTTCATTTCTCCAGTTTATGGATTCTAGCCCTTCAAATATGTCTCCAGAGCTTATAAGTATTGTTGTATTGTCTTTTAAATAAATCATTTTCAGTTCTTGGTGCATGTATTCCTTATTTTTGTGGTGTTATTAATATTTAGTAGTTTATAACTGTATAATCTTTTAATTTCACTATAATTTTCCCATGAAAACAAATATATATATATTTATCACATATATAAAATATTATTTACTTTTGCTTCTCTTAATAATTATACATGATTTTCAAGAATTTGTGGGATTATAAACTGGAATTCTGAAACCACATTTTTAGTGACTTGAGATTCAGTACTCTCAGAGATGCAAGTTTCCATCTACACACACCCATGCTGAATTCCAAGTTCACTGGTCAGAATTTTTATTATTTCTGTGTCATGGGTGATATGGTCACTCTGGCTCCCTGGTTTAGTTAGATTTACAGCTTCTCCACATGTAAGTGCCAAGTATCTCAACTCCTTGTAAGACAGAAATATTAAGTCTGTAGTTCCAAGTGTGTATAACTACCTTAGATAGTTTTGCAAATTTTTAATCCTTAACTCCTATTTACACTGTGATCTTTAAGCTTTATCATTTTTATGGATATTAGATGAAGTATTTCCTTTATCTGCAGTTGTGTACTGTTTTTTTAACACTCTTCTAAATGAAGAATGGAAAGGGAAATTTACTTTGCCAGCTAACTCTATCAGATTGTCAAGAAGTCAGTATAGATTTTTATTTACAAGTTGTTATCATTTATTTAACATGAATAAAAAGCTAAAAATTAAAGTACAAAGGTCAGAATCAGATATGAGAGTCAAATGTATACTTGATGTTTAGAAGTGATACGGGAATAAAGCAATCCTGTGCTTTCTTGATGCTCTTCTCACTGCAGTATTTGAAATTTGTGTGCTTTGTGAGTTTAGTATATAAGCTAATGAAAATGTTATTCATCTGTATTTTTGTTCAGTGACCTTTGGATGTTATTTTATCAGTAACTAGTCTTATAAAAGATAAAATACTGCTAATAAGATATATTGACTTTCAATCACAAACTTGATCAGCTTCCTTAGGATTAACTGGAGACATTATTTTCAATTTCTTTTAGGTCAAGATTAGAAGGTAGCACTCACACATATGCCAGCAAGTAAGTATATTAGAAGGTCATTTTAAGATACATGTTGAAAACTAAGAATAAATTGGTAATCCAGTTGATTTCTAAATTTTTTAAAAAATATTTATTTATTTTGAAATGAAGAGAAGAGAAGAGAAGAGAAGAGAAGAGAAGAGAAGAGAAACACTTCTAACTGCTGCTGGTTCACTCTCCAGATGGCCACAACAGCAAGCACTGGGCCATGCTGAAGCCAACAGCCAGGAGATTCATCTGGGTTTCCAATATGGGTGGCACAGGCCCAATCACTTGAGCCATGTTCCATTGCTTTCTCTCGGCCATTATCAGGGAACTGGATCAGAAGTGGAACAACCAGGATTTGAACTAGCATCCAAATGAGTTACCTGCATTGACAAGTAGCAGCTTCACCTGCCACACCATAATGCTGGCCCCAATTTCTAAATATATTTGAATACCCTCAAATGGTAAAATAATGCAGTGACAAGCAGATTATTAATACATGATAGTTTAGGGGCCAGTGCCATGGAGCCGTAGGTTAATCCTCTGCCTGCAGTGCTGGCATCCCATGTGGGCACCAGTTCTAGTCCCGGCTGCTCCTCTTCCAATCCAGCTCTGTGGTATGGCCTGGGAAAGCAGTTAGAAGATGGCCCAAGTCCTTGGGCCCCTGCACCCACGTAGGAGACCGGGAAGAAGCTCCTGGCTCCTGGCTTCAGTCCGGCCCAGCTCTGGCTGTTGCAGCCATATGGGGAGTGAACCAGCAGATGGAAGACCTCTCTCTTTCTCTCTCTGCCTCTACATCTTTGTAACTCTGCCTTTCAAATAAATAAATAAAAATCTTTAAAAAATATATGGTAGTTTTTGTTTCTAATAAATTAGTCATTCCTTCATTTAATGTTTATTGGAAGTCCAACCTGAGGAAACAAGGAATAAATTAGCTGCCTCTAACAGATAAGCTAAGTACAATTAGTAAAGAAAAGAATATAAAGTGCCTAGAAATTACTCATCTTGGGTTATGCAAATATAGTACCTGGGTAAGCAAGCAAATACTTGAAATTTGATAGGCTGTGTCAGAAATTATGAATCTAGATATATAAATTGCTATAATTGCTATGGGTTGAGGAGAACTAACTGTTCTATTTTTATCACCAGTAAATTGCATTGTGTCTCCATTAGTATTTCTTTGCTTTTTAACATGTAAAAATTGTTTATTTTTATGGAAAACAGTGAAATATTTAAACATATTTATTCAGTGTAAACTGATCAAAATAGGTAATCAGTATTATTAGCTTTTCATTTCATTACCCTTTTGTTATGTTTGGTGAATACAAGCTTGTTTCCAGCTCTTCAATCCCATATGTAAAGTATATTGTGAACTACAGTCACTCCACTCCACTGTGGAACACTTCATGTCACTTCTTCTAGCTAAAATTTTCTGGTACCTATTATCCACTTCCTTCTACACTCTTTCTAGTCTCTAGTAATCAGTATTATGAGATCATATTTACTTTTTAAAATTTCTACATATGAGAGAGAACTGTATTATTATCTTTCTGTGTCCTGGTAATTTTACTTAGTATAATGACCCCCTAGTTCCATCCAATATGCTGTGAATGGGATTCATTCTTTTTCAAGGGTGAATAATATTACATTGTGTATCCATACCACATTTATTTATTTAGCTATTCATCTGTTGTGGACTTCGACATTGATTCCATTGGCTTGACCATTGTGAATAATGATACAGTGAATGTTGAAGTACAGGTGTCTCTGTGATATGCTAGTTTAATTTCCTTCAGATATAGACCCAGAAGTGGGATACATAAGTCATGAGGTAATTCTGTGTTTAGTTTCTTGAGGACTCTGTATTGTTCTTCACAATGGCTGTTGTACTCTGCATTCCCTCTAAGGGGTGTAAATGTTCCCTTTTCCCTAAATCCTTGCCATTTGTTATTCTTATCTTTGTGATGAAAGCCATTCCAACAGGAGTGAGATGATATTTCATTCTAATTTTTTTAAAGGTTTACTTTATTTATTTGAGAGAGTTACATAGAGAGGTAGAGACACAGAGAGAGGTATTCCATCTGCTGGTTCACTCTCCAGATGGCTGAAACAGCTGGAGCTGCACTGATCCGAAGCCAGGAGCCAGGAGCTTCCTCTGGGTCTCCCACACAGGTGCAGGGGCCCAAGGATTTGGGCCATCTTCCACTGCTATCGCAGGCCACAGCAGAGAGCTAGATCAGAAGAGGAGCAGCTGGGACTAGAACCGGCGCCCATATGGGATGCCGGCTCTTCAGGCCAGGGCTTTCACCTGCTGCACCACAGCACCAGTCCCCTTCATTCTAATTTTTATTTGCATTTCCCTATTGGCTAATATAGTGAAGCTTTTTACACATTAGTTGACCATTTGTATTTTTCTGAGAAAAGTCTATTAAGATCTTTTGCCAATCATTAAACTGATTTTATGCTGAGTTTTTAATATATTTGATTAATAATTTTTCAGATGAATAGTTGGCAGCTATTTTCTTTCAGTTGTCCCTTGACTATCTTGATTGTTCTTTTCTTAGTTTGATATAATCCCAGTTTATTTTTGCCTTTGTTGCCTGTACTTTTGGAGTCTTATGCTTAAAGTCCTTGCCTACACCAGTGTTTTGAAGTTTCATCATATGTTTTCATCCTATATATTTCATATGTTTTCATCTTATATTCATAATTTTAGGTTTTAGATTTAGGTTTCTGATGCATTTTGAACTTATCTGGCATGAGAGTTGTATGTGAAGGGATTCAATCTTCTGCTATGGATATTCTGTTTTCCAGAACCATTTAGTAAGAGATTGTGTTTTCTTCTATGTATGTTTTTGGCACTTGTGCTGAGAATTAGTTGGCTGAAGGTAAATGGCCTTACTTGTGAAATCTCTATTATTTTCCATTAGTGTGTGTGTCTTTTGTATCAGCACCATGCTATTTTGTTTACAATTACTCACTAGAGTTTCTTGAATTCCCATATTGCGATGCCTCAAACTTTTTGTTTATGATTTATTTCTTTGGGTAGTCAGGGTCTTTTACGGTTCTGCACTAATTTTAGTATTTTGTATAGTTCTTTAAAAATTATTATTGATATTTTAATGGGTATAACATTGGATCTGTGAATCACATTGGTAGTCATGGACATTTCAAGAATATAAATGCCTCCAATACATAAACATGTGAAACCTTTCCTCTTTTTATCTTTTCAATTTCTTTCATTAATATTTTGTAAAAATGATTGTAGCAGTTTTCACATACTTGATATAAATTTATGCTAAGGTTTTTTTAAGCTATTATGAATGAAACTGGATTTATGATTTATTTTTCAGTGAGTTTGTTACTTGTATATAAAAATGCTGTCGATTTTTGCATGTTGATTTTGGATTATGAAGCTTTCCTGAATTCATTTCTTAGATGTAATGGTCTTTGTGTGGCGTCTTTAGGTTTAAATATGTAGAGAATGATGTCATCTGAAAATAGGCACAATTTGAATTCCTCATTTTCAATTCGTATGCCTTTTCTGCCTCTTTCTTTTTGACAAAATCTAGCATTATATTGAACAGGGGAAGTAAGACTATACATTCGTGTCTGGTTTCAGATGCCAGAATAATACTTTGTTTTACGCATTTAATGTGGCATTAGCTATCTTTGTGTTATATATGTCCTTTATTATGTGGTGCTATGTTCCCTCTAAACCCAATTTGTTGCCTATTGTTATATAAATTTAGTCTTTTATTCTGTTGATGTCCTGCATTATATTTATTGATTTCCTTTTGTTAGCCATCATTGCATCTCTGGGGGAAATCCCACTTGCTCATGATAAATGATGTTTTTGATGTCTTGTTTGATTTGATTTGCTGGTATTTTGTTAACAGTTTTGAATCTCTGGTTATCAAGGAGATTGGTTTATATATAGTTTTCTTCTTTTGTTGCATACTTGTCTGGATTTGGTGTCAAGGTAATAATACTGGCCTTGAAGAATGTGTCTGTGTTTGCTCCTTTAATTAAAAAAAATATTTTGATTGGAATTGGTGTTACCTCTTACTTCAAAGTTTGGTTGAATACAGCATGAAAGTAATCTGGTCCTTGGCTTTTCTTCATTTGTAGACGTTTTATTATTGATTTGATAACACTACTCATTATTGGTCTGTTTAGGTTTCCTCTGTTTTAATGATTGAAATTTGGTGGGTTAAATATGTCCAGCAATGTATCCATTTCTTTTTTTTAAAGATTTATTTTTTATTTATTTGAAAGAGTTGCAGAGAGCGGTAGAGACAGAGGGAGAGGTCTTCAATCTGCTGGTTCACTCCCCAGATGGCTGCAATGGCCAGAGCTGTGCCAATCTGAAGCCAGGAGCTAGGAGCTTCTTCCACGTCTTACATGTGGGCACAGGGGCCCAAGGACTTGGGCCATCTTCTACTGCTATCTCAGGTCATATCAGAAAGCTGGATCAGAAGAGGAGCAGCTGGGACTCGAACCAGCATCATATGGGATTTCTGTGGTGTCAGTTGTGATATTTCCTTTTCAGCTGTCATTTTATCTATACATGCTATGCCTTTTCCTTTCTTGGTTAGTTTAGCTAAAGGCTTGTTGATAATATCTATCCTGTCAATAATCCAACTCTTTGTTTCACTGTTCTTCTTTCATTTATTTCTACTTTGATATGTGTTATATATTTTATTATACTAAATTTTAGTTCAGTTTGGTTTTGCTTTTCTAGGATGTGGAGTTGTGACCCAAGATTGTTTAATTGAAATCTTTCTATTTATGTAGATGCCTATTGTTATACAATTCCCTCCTCATACTGCTTTTGCTATATCTTATGAGTTCAATATATTGTGTGTCCATTTCTGTTTAGTTCAAGGACATTTTAATTTCTGAAATGACATTTTGTTTCAAAAGTATCTTTTCCAGGCTTTATGTTTTAATTTTTAAATTTTCTTTTGCTTTTTTATTTCTAGTTTTATTCCACGCTGGTCACAGAAGATACACAATATTATGTCAGGGTTTTTGAATTTGTTGAGTTGTTTTAGGGCCTACAACATGGCCTATCCTAGAGAATATTCTGGTGAAACTAATATACATTATAAAGGTGTTGAATAAAATGTTCTGTGAATGTCTGTTAGGTGCATGTGGTTTTTATCGTTGACTCTTTGTGTAGATGATCTGTCCATTGGAGAACATGGGGTGATGAAATCCCCCACTGTCATTGCATTGGAATTCATCTGTCTATTAATATTTGTTTTATAAAATTGAGTTTTCTGGATTTAGGTGTGCATATATATATATATATATAAAATGTTTAAATGTATACATATATTTGTTGAATCAATCCCTTGATCATTGTGTTGCGAATTTGTCTCTTTTTACAGTTTTTGCCCAAAAGTTTGTTTTATCTGATATAAGTGTAGCTACTGTTGTCTTTTTTATTTCTGTTCGTGTAGAATATCTCAGGTCTCACAGGGTATGTGCTGGTTAGGCTGCAATGTGGGCTGGTAGTTGACCAGCTTGAAGCAGATAGGGCCCTCCAGATCCCACCAATAAGTGTGAGTTACTCCAGAGATTGTAACACTAACAGCCACAATACAAAAGCCATGAAATATGTAAGGGACTATCTTTGGTCTCAGTGACACTGAGGCTTGTGCTCAGGCTACCCTGTACCTTTAACAAAGAGATGCAGAAAGGGACTTACTCATGTCTGGTCCTCTGGGTTTGTGTTTCAGGTGCTTTAGGCACTGAGTCCTGAGAAACACAGGAGGAACTTCCTTAGATCATGCACAGGCGCTGTGCCTGCAATTACACAGCTTCAGGGTGCTGAAGGGCCTGCTCTTTGCTGTGTGGATTTCTGTGACTCCAAAGGCTTCTGATGGCAGTGGAGATGCCTGCTGCTCCGTAAGATGAAATGGAGTTTAGTAGTGGCTGTGCTCCAGTGGCTCAGGTCTAGGGCTTTGTTGAGGGAGGAACAATGTATATGCATTTTTGGAGAGAAGCAGTGTTAGCTTTCTAGAGTAAATTTAAAGACAGTGAGGACTGTAGAATTTTCCTGTAGTTATGGCTGCCAGTCTGTGGCAGTGACTGGATTTGTGGAGCTCTCTGTTTACTTTTTGTCAGTAAGGTGGAGTTCCCCAGACCTAGGAGCCACAGGTAGGAGTTGTGGCATGCTTTGTTCCTCCATGCTGGGTTTCTGAGTCTCTGTTCTGTTTAGAGTCCTGGTTACTTACTGATTGGATTTTCCCTTCAGTCTTCTGGAAGTGCAGTCCCTTTTTTGGTCTGGTTCTTCTTTGTCTCCCATTCTTCATATTCTGTCTCTGATTTCTCCATGTTTCTTAGTTTGTCTTCCACCTATCATTTTTGTGGTGTTTTCTCTAAACAATTTTAAATTCAGAAAGTCTTTTTTTCAGGGATTTTATTTCTTATTTAATAGATTATGTTCCCTTTTTTAACTTCTATAGAAATGTAAGCTTTTTTTTCAAGCTTTCCTATTCTTATATTTTTTTACTTTCATGTTATCTCTTAGAGGCTTTTCCTTTTTAAGTCATTAAGTGGCAATGATTGTCTCTTGAGAATTCTGCATGTCCTATATTGCAGATGATGTCTTGTTGTGGAGCTTATATTTTGTCTTCCAGTTTTCACAAAAATGAGTGTTCATGGGGAGCATGAATTAGTGTTCTGGGTCTGTACTTGGAAAAGACTTATGGTTCCTAATTTACCATGTATTGTATTTCCATATGTATCCCTTAGCTGATTTAAATAGCTATACTATAGCTTGTGAGACATAAGAATATCCTCCATTTAATACACTAAAGTGGAATAAATCTTTAAAAACAAGTTTTACTGTTAACTCTCATAATACAACTCTCTGAGGGCAGAGGTCCTGCATGAGAAGTTAGTGCACAGTGACTCCTGTTGTTGATCAACACACTTATGTATGATGTCAGTGATCACCCAAAGCTCTTGACATGAGCTGCCTAGGATATGGAGGTCTTCTAAGTCCACAAACTCCATCAGTATTTAGACAAGTCATCAGCAAAATGGAAGTTCTCTCCTTCCTTCAGAGAAAAGTACCTGCTTCTTTGATGACCACTTCCTTCATGTAGGATGCTTTTTGCCACAGTGTCTTGGCTTTCCATGCCTGAAATGCTTTCATGGGATTTTCAGCCAGACCAGAATGCCTTAAGGGCTGATTCTGAGGTCAGAGTGCTACTTAAAGTGATAGTCATTATATGAGTCTGCTGTGTGGACTGCTTCCCAGGTTGGAGCCCTTGCTCCCTTTTAAATCTATCTATTATTGTTACCAAACACTTAATCCTATCCATATGATCACTTTAACACTTAAAATGCTATTTTACCACCCAGCTTAAGGGGATTTGGGGGCCCCATGGCAAGTTTTTAAACTGTACCCTTAGAAGTAAGTCCATAGGAATGCATGCAGAACTATACGGTTTTACAGGTACAAACTTCATACATTTCATAATTACAACTTTAGGAACATGGTGATTCTTCCTACCATGCCCACCCTCCCACCCATATTCCCACCACCTTCCTCCTCCCTGTCTTATTCCCAATCTTATTTTTTACTAAGATCTATTTTCAATTAACTTTGTACACATATGATTGTCTCTGTTAAGTAAAGAGTTCAACAGATAGTATGAAAAAAAACTGTTCCTCTATAGTCTAGACAGGGGCTGTTCAATGTCATTGCTTCTCGAAGTGTCAGTTTTACTTCTACAGATCTTTTTAAAAAAATTTGTCACAATTTTATGAAATGTGGAATAGGATGGGGAATTAATCTGCTAGCACATTCTTCTTTCTTATCTAGCAGTCAGTGCAGTCACAACCTATAGTTATTTATTTCTTAATGGATTAAACATCAGGTTTCAACAAAGCCTGAAGAAGACTTTCAAATTCACGCAGGTATTCTATGCTGGGAAGTAGCAAATCTGTTTTCCTGCTCTGCTTCCTAGTTGCTTATTTGCATATCCTAATTTAGCAATTAAAATGCTCAAAAAGAGTTATAAAAGAGTTATTACAGGTTATAAGATATTGAATATTCATTCTTTATGGTCTTTATTTGTTAATATTATTTTGGAAGCATTAATTTTACTCTCATTTTGATACAGATCAGAAAGCAGCAGCCATGCTGTTACCAGCAAGTAAGTAAATTAGGAGGTATTTCTTAGAATCAGTGTGTGCTAAAAATCAAGATAAATACTAATAATTAAGAATTAATTGCACCATAGGTTTTAAAATTATACATCTAAAAACAACCTAGTTGTTCTTGCCAATCCAGTCATAAGTGAATACTTGTTTAAATGTATCTCTCTTTTCTTTCCTTCAGCTTATTATATAGTGTATTGGGAGCTTAGATTTGGGAAATAATTGGTTATGTGAGTGATGGAATATGGTCATGCATAAGAAGAATTCTTCTGTACTTTTATCCTTGTGTTCACATAGGAAATGTTTACTTCTTTATTTGGTGTCTCTTCAAGTAGAATCTCAATATGTACACTCATGAACAACTGAGTCAATGTCTTTCCCAATCAGTTGAGAAGAATTTTCCCAATAAAAAACATTATAAGGGACTAAGAATTCTATGCATTCCCAAGTCTCTCAGTCTTACAAAGTAGTATTCACTAGATCCCTTTCCATTCCCTAAAAGGTGCATGTCTCTGTCTAATAATCTGAATAAGATTATAATTTCTCAGCCCCAACAGTGATGGGGTTTGTGTCTTTCTGCAGGTGTAAAATATTTTGTATTTTCCCACCTAGGTTCTCTGATTTACAGTCCTTATTTTTCTGTTTAGGGGACTGATGATATTTCTTCTAGGTTTCTCCAGGTTCACTACCATTCCAAAGCACACCAAATCTACAGGGCAAGCTCTCTAAGCAGCACACCTAGATTGTATGGTATCATTTATTCCAGAAATTTCCCCTTTGAGTAAGAATGTTTAAATCTCTTATCCTTGATCTCTTCTCATTGTGATCTTTTCTTTACTCTTAAACTTTGGAATTAGTTTCATCAAACTAATAATATTGATTTTTGTTATCCCTGTCATTATTTTGAGAAAAAGAGTTGTCACACAGTGCTTGAACACAGCATGTCTCAAGGTTCTTTTCCTCACCATGGGCCTGATTAATTAGTATTCTACCATTTCAGAAAAAGACCAGGTTTATCTTCCTCAGCATTGTATAAACAGCATGTAGCATCATATTTGGATTGTGCTGAATCATCAATAAATATTTGTTGAATGAATGACTACCATTGATCCTCACACACATGGGGTAGACAAACAAAAACACAAAGTTATATGGGTATGCATTCACAAGTGCAGACAAGTAACATACAAACCACATATCTTCGATATTATAATTTCCCTCATTTTTCCTATCTTTTTGTAATATCAGTGATCCTGAAACCTTGTTAACATAACTAAACACTTCTAGAATTCTTATTCAGTTATATCAAATGAGGGATGATAACATCCCCCATAGGAGAATGTTGACTCACTGGCTAGTCTTCTTGGTTAACATGCTGAGGAAAACATTTTTAGGGTAATTATCTAATTTTTAATCATATCACTTGAAACTGACGCTGTGGTTAATTGACATAATATCCACTATAGTTTTCAGATCATATGTTTAGAATACTTGCATGGAAAGTCAGTGGGAAAGGTTGTTGAAGCCAAAAAATGCAGAGATTGGATGAATTTGGGTGATATTAGTACTGTCTTAATACACTTAACCTTTTAAATGTCTAAATTCTATCAACATTTCAAATCATTTCCTAAGTAACAGAAGAATTTTAAATCATTTAATAAAAAACTTTAAATGTTAATTTCCAATACTTCTCTAATTTGGCTTTTAGCTTCCAGGTTTTTATCCACAGGACCCAACCTTTGATTAGTCACCATTATTATTAAGACTGTATATTCAATAATTTTTTATAAGATGTTTATCAACTGCATCACTCACCTGTTCATTCTTGAATATAATTATTTTTAATTCTTGGTTAATTTCCTGAAGTAAAACACTTGATATTTGTTAGTATCTATTTTTTTAACTTTTATTTAATGAATATAAATTTCTACAGTATAGCTTATGGATTACAATGGCTTCCCCCCCCATAACTTCCCTCCCACCCGCAACCCTCCCCTTTCCCACTCCCTCTCCCCTTCCATTCACATCAAGATTCTTTTTCAATTCTCTTTATATACAGAAGATCAGTTTAGCATATATTAAGTAAAGATTTCAACAGTTTCCACCAACATAGAAACACAAAGTGAAAAATACTGTTTGAGTACTAGTTACAGCATTAAATCACAATGTACAGCACATTAAGGACAGAGATCCTACATGAGGAGTAAGTGCACAGGACTCCTGTTGTTGACTTAACAAATTGACACTCTTGTTTATGGCATCAGTAATCACACTAGGCTCTTGTCATGAGTTGCCAAGGCTATGGAAGCCTTTTGAGTTCACCAACTCTGATCATATTTAGGCAAGGTCGTAGTCAGAGTGGAAGTTCTCTCCTCCCTTCAGAGAAAGGTACCTCCTTCTCTGATGACCTATTCTTTCCACTAGGATCTCACTCGCGGAGATCTTTCATTTAGGTTTTTTTTTTTTTTTCCCCCCGGAGTGTCTTGGCTTTCCATGCCTGAAATACTCTCATGGGCTTTTTAGCTGGATCCGCATGCCTTAAGGGCTGATTCTGAGTCCAGAGTGCTGTTTAGTGCATCTGCCATTCTATGAATCTGCTGTGTATCCCGCTTCTGATATTGGATTGTTCTCCCCCTTTTTTCTTCTATCAGTTAGTATTAGCAGACAGTAGTCTTGTTTATGTGATCCCTTTGGTTCTTAGTCCTATCATTATGATCAATTGTGAACAGAAATTGATCACTGGGACTAGTGAGATGGCATTGGTACATGCCACCTTGATGGGATTGAATTGGATTCGCCTGGTATGTTTCTAACTCTACCATTTGCAGCAAGTCAGCTTGAGCATGTCCCAAATTGAACATCTCTTCCTTCTCTTATTGCCACTCTTATATTTAACAGGGATCACTTTTCAATCAAGTTTCAGCACTTAAGAATAACTGTGTATTGATTACAGTATTCAACCAAATGTATTAAGTAGAATAAACAAAAAAAATACTAAGAGGGACAACGTATTAAGTTGTTCATTAACAGTCAGGGCAAGGGCTGATCAAGTCACTGTTTCTCATACTGTCCTTTTCTCTTTAACAGGTTTCCTTTTTGCTGCTCGGTTAGTTGTCACCCATCAGGGAGAACATATGCTATTTGTCCCTTTGGGACTGGCTTAGTTCACTCAGCATGATGTTTTCCAGATTCCTCCATCTTGTTGCAAATGACTGGATTTCGTTGTTTCTTACTGCGGTATAGTATTCTAAAGAGTACATATCCCATAATTTCTTTATCCAGTCTACTGTTGATGGGCATTTGGGTTGGTTCCAGGTCTTAGCTATTGTGAATTGAGCTGCAATAAACATTAAGGTGCAGACAGATTTTTTTGTTTGCCAATTTAATTTGCTTTGGGTAAATTCCAAGGAGTGGGATGGCTGGGTTGTATGGTAGAGTTATATTCAGGCTTCTGAGGAATCTCCAGACTGGCTTCCATAGTGGCTTGACCAGTTTGCATTCCCACCAGCAGTGGGTTAGTGTCCCTTTTTCCCCACATCCTCTCCAGCATCTATTGTTGGTAGATTTCTGAATGTGAGCCATTCTAATTGGGGTGAGGTGAAACCTCATTGTGGTTTTGTTTGCATTTCCCTGATTGCTAGTGATCTTGAACATTTTTCATGTCTCTGCTGGCCATTTGGATTTCCTCTTTTGAAAAATGTCTATTGAGGTCCTTGGCCCATCTCTTAAGTGGGTTGTTGGTTTTGTTTCTGTGGAGTTTCTCGATCTCTTTGTAGATTCTGGTTGTCAACCCTTTATCTGTTGCATAGTTTGCAAATATTTTTCCCATTCTGTCAGTTGTCTCTTCACTTTCCTGACTGTTTCTTTTGAAGAACAGAAACTTCTCAAATTCATGCAATCCCAAATGTTAATCTTTGCTTTGGCTGCCTGTGCTTCCGGGGTCTTTTCCAGAAACTCTTTGCCAGTACCTATATCTTGCAGGGTTTTTCCAATGCTCTCTAATAATTTGAATGTGTTGGGTCATAGATTTAAGTCTTTAATCCATGTTGAGTGGATTTTTGTGTAAGGTGTAAGGTAGGGGTCTTGCTTCATGCTTCTGCACGTGGACTTCCAGTTTTCCCAGTACCGTTTATTGAATAGACTGTCCTTACTCCAGGGATTGGTTTTGGATCCATGATCAAATATAAGTTGGCCGTAGAGTTTTGGATTGATTTCTGGTGTTTCAATTCTGTTCCATTGGTCTATCCATCTGTTTCTGTACCAGTACCATGCTGTTTTCATAACAAGTGCCCTGTAGTATGTCCTGAAATCTGGTCTTGTGATGCCTCCGGCTTTGTTTTTGTTGTACAAGATTGCTTTAGCTATTCGAAGTCTCCTGTGTCTCCATATGAATTTCAGCATCATTTTTTCCAGATCTGAGAGGAAGGTCTTCAGTATCTTGATTGGTATTCCAATGAATGTATAAATTGCTTTTGGGAGAATGGACAATTTGATAATATGGATTCTTCCATTCGATGAGCATGGAAGATTTTTCATTTCTTGGTATCCTCTTCTATTTCTTTCTTTAAGGTTTTGTAATTTTCATCATAGAGATCTCTGACATCCTTGGTTAAGTTTATTCCAAGGTATTTGATTGTTTTTGTGACTGTTGTGAATGGGATTGATCTTAGAATTTCTTCCTCAGCCATGGCATTGCTTGTGTATACAAAGGCTGTTGATTTATGTGCATTGATTTTATATCTTTCTACTTTCCAAACTCTTCTATGAGTTCCAATAGTCTCTTAGTAGAGTTTTTTATGTCCCCTAGGTAAAAAATCATATCATCTGCAAAGAGGGTTAGTTTGAGTTCTTCCTTCCCAATTTGCATCCCTTTAATTTCTTTTTCTTACCTAATAGCTCTGGCTAAAACTTTCAGAACTATATTGAATAGCCATGGTGAGAGTGGGCATCCCTGTCTGGTACCAGATCTCAGTGGAAATGCTTCCAGCTTTTCCCC